TTTGCAAAGCTTGCTGAAAAATTCATCTTCCTTCGGATGGCTAACTTGTATCTAATGAAATGTCACCTAACATTTCACACAACGATTTATGGCTTTTTGTTAGAAATTGCGTAAGGAGCAACTGCGTCGCTATGATGCAACACTCTTGATCCCCGATTCAACTTTTGGGCACCTTACCTCTGTTAGACTCACGCAATCTTAATGATCTGTGACCACCGGGGTATAAAAGCATTTCTCCCCATCTCCGGCTTGCAGAGTTGCGGTTTTTCGCCACGCCACTATGTTATGGGAAGCTCTGGCTCCCCAGAGACTCGCCACCTTTTAATGCATTATTTCTTTTTTTTATGACTTTACACTGCACATCATTAAATTGTCGCCTATCATTATATGTGTGCATCTAAAACTAGGTGTTTCTACACTTACATACACCATCATATAACACACAAGTAGGGTGTACACACTAGTCCAACCTACTAACTTTTAAGGTTGCGACAGAAAGTTTCAATTACAAATTAATAAAAGTTAAGATTCTCATTCCTCTTTCTCCCTCCTTGCCCCTCCCCGTGCTCTCTCCAAAAAAAGGCAAAAGTTTTTTAGATTAACAGATTACAGTTCATAGCCAGTAGGATACCTCATGGTCTAGGAGAAGCAACGCTCTACACTCATCAAAGTCATCACAAAATGGCCAGAGTCTTCCCGACATTTCGGCCGGAAAGGCCGCCAAGCTGGTAATCCTCTCAGAAAATGAAATGGAACGTTTGGATTAACAGTAGATCGGCAATCAATTGATGCAGTACTGGTTAAAGCAACTGGAAAAGCTGTCAAGCTGCGTAAATGGGAAAATGACTTTAAACTGCAACTGACCCAGGTGCCCAAGTAACTACTTTCTTATGGATAATGAAATATCTCAGATTATAATAGGAAAAAATTATGATGTTTTTCACCATGCATTTGTCACGGAAAACTCGCGAAAAGCTGGCAAAGAAAAAAGCTGTCACGAAGAAAAAGATGTACACAGCCCATGGGAGGCAGCAGGAAAAGAAAGACGCATTCTGCCTCGAAATGTGCCGCTAGGCTGAGTATAGAGCACATGATCCAGTGGTGTGGTGGGAAACAAGTCGTGCCCGAAAATGAACACGAGTGGTTCAATTCCCTTCTGGTCCATAACCATTTTTGAAAAGCGTCTCCATGTGCAATAGCACTTGCGCGAATACTTTTTCTGCAAACACTTACACTGACAAAATCATAATATCCTTCATCGGTAATACTATTTTCCACGAAATACAGGAATGTTATATGTCTGAGTGAGCCTTCGCGCCTTGTTCGGCTCAAATTTGGTGCCACATCTTGAGCTGTCAAATTATACGCCGATAGTAATCGAACAACGAGCTTTTCGATAGCTTTTTTTTGTAGTTTCGCCATCGGGATCGTCATTATTTTTTTCTGACGATATTCCTCATAGCGCTTTGCGATAACTGCAATAACTATTTGTTCACAATATGTTCAAAACAGGGCGAGAAACAGTATGTAGCACAAGTTAGCGCATTAACATAGATTTGCTGTTTTACTTATATCAAAGTTCTAAGTAGACTTCTCATAATTCAATGTCCCTTTCCATTCTCTCTCTTCAATTCATTAACTGGAACCGCTTCTCTCCTTTCAAACTCTAGTTTCGTAAATTAGATATAATCACAACGGATCTAACTGGACATAATCGTAGGTTCATTTGTGGTAACGGTAAGAAATGTATACGACTTAATGGACCGAAACATTTTTTACCTATTACAAACACTTTTATAGACACCTTTCCCATTTTATTATCCTTTTCCTCCCTTTCTTTGTTTTCTTCTTTTCAATCTTTGATAAGGCTAAGAAGATGTAATGATGATTCCTGTGCCGATCCATACGCCCTTCCCGTATTTACAGCTAAGGGATGAAAAATAGACTGCTTCTACATATGTCTATTAAATAAACGGCCCACAATTCTCACGATTTCCACCTTATCACATGATTTTCGAGCTCAACCGGACACTTTTCGAGCATATTAGATATCTCAGTTAACAGTTAATTTTGATAACTTTCTAACTATTATAGTAATAAAATCGAGCGAACAATAAGTATGGGTATTCCACGTTAGCGATTTTACGAAAGTGTTCCCCCTAGGCTTCCTCTTCTCTCTCCTGAATCAGTAAACGTGTGAAGAGTCAGAACTCACAACATGGAAACAATCGGAAGTAGCATGAGTGACAGCACTTTGCCAGGGGGTTGTCGCGAAGGACCCGATCAAGAGCCGGCAAAGAAGCCGCTACAAAGAAAAAGATTTATACTGCCTAAGGGAGAAACCAAGAAAAGAAAGGTGTATTTTGCCTTGAAAAAAAGATAGATATACAGTAAATGTGCTTCAGGCTGATCCCCGAGCACAAGCTGCAGTGCTGCAGTAGGCAGCACATCGCATCCGAATGTGAAGAGAAATGGTTCGATTCACCGCTGGTCTATAAACACTTTTAAAAAGGTGCACTGTTCGCGGCAAGAGCAGCAGAAAATTCAGTGTGTGATATAGGCTCTTCTGATTTGAGCTTCTCCTTAATGTCCCTACAGTTAATGGTCAAATATTACATTTCGCTAGTGCTAATTAATGTCAATCTTTGCTTCCCCTCACTCTTTTTTTCATGTCAAATTTTTGACACGAACGATAAAATAATTCACCACGTTCATCGAGCCCAACCAAGCCATCAAAATACCGCACAAGCTCTTCCTGCAGTTTCTTCTCGCCTTTGATAAACGCATCGACGGCAACGAAACGGTCTTGCAGCATGCATGGGATGACTAATTCGTTAAGCGTAAAATGTGACTGGAAATCAAACACCGTGGCGCAAACAATAGCATCACGATAATTCCCGGCCGCAACCATATCCTGGAAGACTAATGATTAACAATCAAAATCAAGCAGAAGGGCATGGTGCCGTAGGAATAAGCAGCAAGTCGAAGGTTCAACTCCACCGGTGGGCCAAGCACAGTTAAGCCAGGTTTTTCGGTTCAGGGCTCCATACTTCTAGGCAGTACCTATCACTTGTTCTGTGTATGTGCGCTACTTGTCCTTCAGGGACATTCGAGCAGTCATTTATTTTTTCGTTGACACCACACATTAATGACTGTCGTCCATCAATTGTCGACAAAGTGAGAGACATGTCCTGCCTGCCGGATTTTATTTTCTCACGTGTGAATAAGGGCTCTAATCTAAGTATTCAAGACACGTCGAAAAAGAAATAAATGGCAACGCGCACCAGACTAGCCGGTGCGATCATGCGTTTTGTGCAATTCAGC